CAGAAGAGGGAGGGGAACGAAGAAGCTGGGAAGAAGCTGGGAAGCCCAGCTTGAGGTGCTTTGGTCATTACTTTAGCCAATGAGCATTTCTTGAGTGTTCAGTATGTTCTGGGTACTGTGCTAGGTGTTGGGATTGTGTAGATGAATGAATATAATACCAGTGATGCCTGTTCCCAAGAGACTCACATTACTGCTGTAAGGAAGAAATACCCTTAAGTACCCTCTAGCAACTTGACAGGGTTAAGCATATGGACACAGTCTAAGGCACTGGTTCTCACTCCAGGCCATCAGAACCACCTAGAGGGCTTCTGTAAAAGCTGGCGTGTTGAGCTCCAGCCCTGGACCCCTGGTTCAGTAAGTGGAGCTCTAGAACTTGTATTTCCACCAAGCTTCAGGATAAGTAAGAGTTCCCCAGGTGGAGAATGTACTTTAGACTAGGAAAAAATATTCCATCTAGCAGTTTTGAAGGGGAGGGAAGATGTACCCTGGAACTTATTTGGGCATAAGACACATCTAGCCAAGCAGGATTCTCCTGGCCATTCAGAGGAGTAATTCTCTAGGTTCATGCCGTTCATTTCAGAGTCTACCCATAGGTAGACTCTGCAGGGCAAAATTAACGAAGTGTTGTGTGTGAAAGAGAGACTAGTCCCAACCCATTTATTGCTAAGGCAAGTGTGGTGAAAGACTCAGTGGCTTGTCTGGCATCTGACTGCCTGTGAAGAGCAGAGCCAGGAATAAAGACTAACTTTTGGACTCCTATCTCAGTATTCTTTCCAGATACATCCATGTCCTTTCCTTGCCCTTTCATTTCCTTGGGGCCGACAGGGCTGTTAATGCCTAAGCAATTTCATCTTTCCAATCCTCCTCCACTCCCAGCCCCCACTGCCACCCCTGCCCAAGTCCTGCAGGCAGTCATAGAAGAGTTAACTTTTGTTGGACTGAAGGCCCGAGCCAAGTACAGAGTGTCCATTGTGTGCCCGCCCCCTCAGGAGGAGTCACTGACTGCTAGAATGTGACAAGGCAAAACCTTTTTACCTTGCCTTGGCCTCCCCAGCTCTGTGAGTGTGTGAGTGTGTGCGTGTGCTCTCATAACGCGTTTTGGCAGGGCTGAATCACAAGAGGACTCGCAGTTGATACCCGGACTCACCAAAAAGTTGAACTGTGAATCTGGGGAGGCAGGTTCGTGCTGGGAAGAAAGCTAAAGAACAACAGCTTTGTGTGCTGTTGAAGTAAACAGGCAGGTTAGGTTTCTTTGCTCTTTCTTTTGAAAGCTTATTTTATTTTATTTTTCCAAGATGACGGTCACATATAGACACAAGGGGCTGGATTACAATCCTCAAGATAGGCAGCAAATTTGGCTGGGGCTGCTGCCTGGGTGGGTGGAGCTGCAGTGGGAGTAATTTGAACTCTTAAGACTTTGAATAGCTGTCAGGGGCGAAGCTGTTTTCATTCAGAAAAAAACTTGAAATCCTCCATGTGCCCAGTCCTGCAATGGGTGCCACAGGTAATGTAAGCATTGTACAACCACAGTTAGTTCTCAGCCTGAGGCTGAGCTGCAATCATGTTAGAAAAATAAGATTTATGTGCTCAAAAAAAACTAGAAGACAATACAAAGCTGGTATATAACTATAGAGCTGGGTGCAATGTCAGTCCGGCCAAGGAGTGAGCACTGTGGTCTGGACTTTATAAGAACGTTGCCTTGGAGAAGTGAAGACTTGGGGATGACCTATAAATATGGAAAAGCTGGGGATCTTTTTATTCATTTGTTTCTTCATTCCTTCATGCAACAAACGTTTGGGGAACACCAATTGCGTGGCCAGCATTGCGAAGATGAGAGGAAGTGGCTATAAGAAGAGATAGAGACTAGTTTGACTTGAATAGTGAGTACAAGTTGGTGGCTAATTTGCCTTGGACTTTTAAGGTGAGACCAGTATGAAAAGTCTGGAATAGATGTTTTCCTAAAGATTAAGGCTATTGGAAGCTGCATTACTGTTTTACGTACAGTATTTATTATGATATACTTATATTGTCCTGGTTTGGGTCTTCGAGCAACATGAATGAAATTTCAGCTGAACCTTCTTAGGACCCCCTGCCTCTAACATCAAGTTCCCTTAATCCAGCCCTCACACCATGCACCACAATTATCTTCCTAAAGTGTAACTTTGATAGTATTCCTTCCCCACTGATATTCCTTAAATAGCTTCCCTTTACCTGTGAGATAAAATCCAAACTCATTAGCACAACATTCAATGATGTCCATGACCTGGCGATGACCTTATATTTCCAGCCTCTCACAGGTTCCCAGTCTCTACCATACTTCCTAGCCAAACAACAACTTTCTCTTTCTTGTGCATAACCCTGCACGTGCCTGCCTGGGACGTGGCCTCGTGCCTTCCCTTTCTCTGCTATGTCTTCCTTCTTCCTGTCCTACTTAGGAATCCCCCAGCAAGATCAAAGCCCTGTCTTGCGCTCTCCTCGAAGGCTTTCTGTGTAGTTTCCTAGGTGTCTACACCTTGCCCAAGTGAAGAAAACTTTTTCTTTTTGCTTCTATCCTTTCTTATAGTACATAAAAGTTCTGCTTTGTTTTAGAGTGACTTGTCAAATCTCCCATCAAAAGCGTAACTTCCTTGAAGAAAGAGATTTTCCTTGTATCCTAGTATTTTGATTTGAGGAGAACTGAAAAAAGTTGTTGAATTGAATTTTTATTCTGTTGTGGATCTCATTACTTAAATTTTAAGTTTTGAAACTTTATCTTGTACACATAGTTGGTTATGCATTTGTAGTTAAATGCAATAAATGATTGTTTAATTTATTTCACTCTGAAGTGAATCCTTTTTTGGATGGAAGATAAATATATTCACTGTATAAGCCCATCCGTTCATCTAAAGTTTAGAGTTCGCCTTCTTTTATTGTATCACAGGATCTGTAACATACATTTCCCTACTCTGGTTCCAAGGTCCAAATGAATTTCATTTAGGAACTTCATATGTATGTGCCTTGCCTCTCCCCTGACCTGAGGAGATTCTATAGCTAGGTATTAGAGAAGTAAAATGTCATTGGAGATTCCTGCCAAAGGGAGTAGACTCTGAACATTACTGCCATAAGAAAACATGGCTTGCAATTTGCATGGTTCTGGGATACAGACTGAGAAAGACCTGCTAGATTCTTACCGCTTGACAAATGTGGAAATGTTCTAAAGTACACTGATGTCTCCAACAGTTGGGGTAGTGCCTGACACTAGAAAGAAGGGCCTCTGTAATGTCGACTTAAGTACAGCTTTTAAAAAATGATGTGTGTTATTGGGCAGATAAATCTAGATGAGACAAAGAATCGAGAAACATCGAGTGTCATCTGGTCTGACTTCTCCCCACCTCCCAAAGTGGAGACCTTGTCCAACTCGTAGCATGAGTCACAGGTGGCCATTTGCAGTGTTTGTTCAACAGTGTCAGTGAAGATGCTCATGCTCTCACTAGGACAGCCTCTTCTTTTTCAGAAAAGCTGCATTCATTGAATCTTCCCCGAAGTGGAAGCAGTTGTAAATGTGTATTTCTGCAAAGATGAGCAGTTTCTGGTAGCTGAATTACTCCTGGGCTTTTCTGGGGAGCAGGGTCCATGTGGAAGCCGGGGCTGCCTTCCTGGCTGGCTTCCTCACAGGGTGTCAGCTAAAAATGTGCTGATTCTGGAGAGAGAAGACACACGTCTGGTCTTCAGCCTTCCACTTCTTGGTTGTTCTGAATGTGTCTTTGCAGGCATCATTGGGCATTTTCTGGTGGGCACATTTGCCAGCCACTTCTATACATTGATGGGTTCAGAGGTAGAAACCTAAGATGTATAGTTGTGTCTTCTGCTGGGAAACTTCAGCTGCTGAGAAGGTTTGAATGTGATCCAGCCTACAGCCTAAGGGCAGGAGGATGTGATGTTTGCAGCCCCAGGGGTTTTGGTTTTCTCTTGAGACTGAGCATTTGGGCTTCCTTTTGGGCTTTGAAAATTATGAGGATGAGATTGTGAATGATGGAACATGGGGTGAAGAAGGGTGAAGGAGAGTCTAGCTGATCCTGTGATAGTTCCGAGAGACCCTAATTGATTTTTCTCTTCTCATCTTGGAGGAAGGCAGAGAGGAAGATCCTGGGGGGATTCCTGACACGTCCACAGACCTACAAAATGCTCCTTCTCTCCCTTTTTCTCTTTTGCTGCTGCAGAGACACAATACCACTTCATTTAAGAAACCAGAAAGGGGTTACAACTGTCTAGAAAGGGTATTTTTATCTAAATAATTGATAATGATTAGATATCTCTCTTTCGTGTCAATGGAAACATTTGTTGAGGTTTTTTGTTAATCACGGTGTTATGAGTGATTTGCCACTAAACTCTTTTTATTTTCTTTTTGTGAGGCTCACACCTAAGCTTTACATTTGCTTGAAGAAATAGTGCAGTCTTTGCATAATTGAAATAATGCATAGTGAAAAATGACAAAGGTAAACTGGTTTAGAGATAGGCTGAATGCCCCTCCTCCAAGTGGGTGGGGAGCTTGGCACAGGCAGCCTGGGGGTTGTGTTCAGCTTTGCAAACTGTTCTTAACATCTGAGAGAGAAGTGGTGCAAAAAGCCAACCAAATACAGTTCCCACAGACCTGAGCCTCGACACTTCAGACTTCCCTTTCGTCATGATTGGTTTTAACAGTGACTCAGCCAGCTGAAGCTTCAGTGTAAAGAAACGTCTAGCTTGCTACTGGGCTGGAGGACTCGCACTTCTTATCTTTATTCTTGGGCCTACAGCCACAAAATTAATAACAATCCATTATGAAGGCGTGTGTGAATGTATTTTTTCCTTTGCTCTAGTAAAATCCAATTTGGGGATGTGCATATTCTGGTTAGATTTTTTTCCATCATTTTTTTTTCGGATGCCATAGATAAGTGGAAAGGGGCCTCCAGAACTTAGATCGAGTAACCTTGGGGACCATTTTCCTTTCTGCCATGCCTAACTGTGTCTTTGCTTCTCAGTTGCAGATCTGATCTCTTCTGAACTCATCGTGTCTCCATCCCTGGGAATCTGACCCTAGCAACTGGACCACTTTGTTCTTGGAATTTTGGGTGTCCTCTCTTTTCACGTTTCCCTTTTCCCTTTATCCCTTCCCCCTCCTGAGAACTCCTGAAGACTGTAGAGATTGTCATGGAGTCCAGGGAAACCTTAAGCAGCTCCCGGCAAAGAGGGGGCGAGTCAGACTTCCTGCCGGTCTCCGCAGCCAAGCCCCCGGCTGCTCCTGGCTGTGCAGGAGAACCTTTGCTCTCCGCTGCAGGACCTGGGAAGGGGATCCCGGTGGGTGGAGAACGCATGGAGCCAGAGGAAGAGGATGAACTGGGCTCAGGGCGGGATGTGGATTCCAACTCCAACGCGGACAGCGAGAAATGGGTGGCAGGAGATGGCCTGGAAGAGCAGGAGTTTTCTATCAAGGAGGCGAACTTCACAGAGGGAAGTCTGAAGCTAAAGATTCAGACCACAAAGCGGGCTAAGAAACCCCCAAAGAATTTGGAGAACTATATATGCCCACCTGAGATCAAGATCACCATCAAGCAGTCTGGGGACCAGAAGGTGTCCCGTGCTGGAAAAAATAGCAAAGCTACGAAGGAGGAAGAAAGAAGCCACTCCAAAAAGAAGGTAGGAACCCCTGTCTTGTAGGGTTTTTTGTTTCTCTGTTTTTGCCATTTTATCAACTTCTTAGGGTCTGTTTGCATATTACAGTTGACTCTAGAACAACATGGGATTAGGGACTCAGACCCCTGCACAGTTAAATCTGTGTAAAACTTTTGACGTCCCCCCAGAACTTAACTACTAATAGCTTACTGTTGACCGGAAGCCTTACTGGTCATGTTAACAGTTGATTAACACATATTTTTATATATTATATGTATTATATACTGATTCTTCGAAAAAGTAAGCTTGAGAAAAAAAATGATCTTAAGAAAATCAAAAAGAAGAAAAAATATATTTGCTGTTCATTAAGTGGAAGTGGACCATTATAAAGGTCTTCATCCTCATCGTCCTTATGGTGGGTTGGCTGAGGATGAGGAAGAAGAGGGAAGGATTGGTCCTGTTATCTCAGAGGTGGCAGAGGCAGAAGAAAATCTTCATATAAGTGGACTCTTGAAGTTCAAATCTGTCTTGTTCAAGGGTCGACCGTACTTATCTACTCATTAATTACCAATCTCCTTGATGGAATATTTATGGACTCAAGAAGAAACACCTCTGCTTTAATCTTGGTTTAATGTCTCGTTCATTATTATATCTTCTGCCTATCTGACAAAAAAATAGCTTTAGAATTGTAATTTTGGAGAGTTCCTGTTTATTATATAACAGCAAATTGCCTGGGTCAGCTATACCATAACAACATTTTTAGTATTTTTTTTCCTTAATGTTTGCATTTGTTTTCATACTTAGGACTGAGATGTTAAAAACATTTGGGTTAATCAGAACAGTCAAGAATTGTTAAAACTGCCTTTTGATTTTAGTCATTACTATTGTAAATCTTCCTAAGATGAATCACTCACTTGCCTAAGAAGCTTGGTCTTTATAGTAACTGAGACTCTCACAGAGCTGAAAAATCATCATTGTGAAAGCCACTGATGAGCATTAGAACTGGAACTGTAGAAAAACAAAAAAAGGGGCAAGTGATTGGCCTGAATCTTTGTCCAACACATCATGGACTTTTAAGATTGGACATTGACTCAACTTGGTTGGTTTTCATTTTCCTCTTAAAAGTCAAACATGGATGTGCACAGTAGCTAGACAGGTGGTTGGTGGTGTCAGTTGGTTAGGAATGAGTTCATATTTTGTTAAATTTATTTTGTATCATAGGGGGTTACAGTGACTTACAGTGACCTCCCTTCCTGTGTGTGTGCCCTCAGCTGTGATAGCAGAGGAGTGCCTTAGTATACCAAGTTTTTGTCTTCAGGAATCTTTGGGACTTGGGTGGCTCTGGAGGAAGCCCTTTTCTTGACAAAGTTTTGGGGTCCTAAGTTGTAGGTATTAATCATAGTCTTTGTCACTCTCTCCCTGACAATTGATCATTTATTTGGGCTCTAGCTATGTGAATTAGCTAAAAATGGCACAGATGAATGAACTTCTCTTCTTTATAGCCCAGAGAATCTATAGCATTTCTGTTACCAGTAGTTTTTTTTTTTTTTTTTTTTTTTTAAGCTTCTGGGTAGTTATTTTCAATAAAACCACTAGGAATCATATTATTTCTTTAGCATAGGACTTGTGTTTATTCTTATAGTGGGTGTTTTGGCTGATTTTATTGCATTTCGAATCCCAAGAATAGGCTAGTAGAGACTTTCTTGGGTGGCTGACTCCTCACAGTTTGCCCCAGAAATCTGTTGTGGTTTTAAGACTGAAAATTGTGCATCCAGAAATCACTCCAGTTCTTAGCAAACTGGGACAAGTGGTCACCTTCTTTTAACATTTTAGAAGACAAAGGAACCTTTAGAAATTGGTTTGTTTTGACAGAACAGAGATCATGCTCTCTCTTTCCCCATTACAACTTTACGGTTATTTCTGGGTACTCTGTTTTGAAACCAAAGGTTTAATCTCTACACATACAAAAACTTCTGAGATTCGTGCAAGAAAATGCAACAGTTCAAATCAGGCACTGAAAGTGAGTCTTTGCGTTGGAGTTGGGTCTCTTCAGATACAAAAGTGAATATCTTTGTCTCTGGCCATTGAGTTGGCCAGTTCTTTGTGTTTTGTTGTATTTTTGTGTAGGTGAGTTATCTTGAAAAATGGTTACTCTTTGTCTCCATCCTCTTCACTGCCAAGATTTAAGCAGCAACCCACAGTTTTGGGTGTTTAAACCCAAATTCACTACCCTAAAAAGAAAATACATTGTCCTAATTAGGTACCACTTTTCCTAAAGCCACTGATTATTCCCAAATATAGCTTTCTGCCCATTGGAACACACCAGAATAACGCTTTGGAATCTGTACCATGGGGATGATTTCAAAGCTGAAATGTGCAGTGGACGCTGGTGCTCATATCTGAAGTTCTCAGGCTGGTCATTTTTACCCAAAAAGCTGGATGCTCTCCATGGACCTTATGGAAAAGAGATAAAATTGCTTATTTGAATATGTGATTTGCCAAGTAAGCATTTTTATGCCTCAGCAATTAGAGGGGACAGAGAGGAAGGAGAAGGGCTGAAATTCAACGCACAGTGCTCTTTGTGATGATACTGTGGTGGGAATACCCTTCAAAACTTTTTAGTTGTTAGGAGCTTGCTTCACATGGTACTTCTCCATCCTTCTTACATTTATTTATGCCTAGCACTGTTACTTTCCAGAAATGAATTAATAAAGCTATCATCACTGAGTCTCAATTACTTGATAGATGACAGGAACATCCTCTGATCTCTATGGGATGAGAATGTTAACTTTATTACCCTTCAAATTCCTGCTGTTTTGCAACTAGAGCGTAAACAAAAGCTGAAGCTGAGGGTGAGATGTGGAAACCTTGCCTCCCATTTGTATGGAAAAGTTCAGTGGCATAAACTTGCAGAATTGACTTATTTGTGTGAATGAGGAGCACATGATCAGTAATTTGGCACAGAATGGGCGAGGATGGCATTTTGTAAGCAGCGCACCAGCATCTAACCCTCGAATTGCCTTCTGGATCTAGTTTTGTAAGTTGTACCACTCTTTGAAGAGGTGTACTTGGAGTGGCCTCTGGGAAGCAGGTCCTACTCTAGGAGCTAGCAAGAAAGCCTTGTTTAGCTGGTCTTTGAGCTGGTAGCAATTCCTACTAGGCAGTCATCTGAATATATGTGCTGACTTTGAGCTGGGCTTGGCAAACTACAGCCTGTGGGCCAAATCCACTCCCCTGCCTGTTTTTGTATTGCCTATGTGCAAAGAATGTTTTTTTTACATTTTTAAAAGGTTGGAAGAACATCGAAAGAATAATAATATTTTGTAATATGTGAGGCATATGAAATTTAAATTTCAGTGCTTATAAATAAAGTTTTATTGGAACACAGCCAAGTTCATTTGTTTATGTTTTGTCTCTGACTGCTTTTTAGTATAGTGGCAGAGTTGAGTTGTGACAGAGATACCATGACCTTCAAAGATTCAACTGCTTACTCTCTGATCCTTACAAAAAATGTGCATTGACCCTTGACTTAGGGGAAGGACATAGAGTTTCAGGATAATGAAGGTTTTTGTTTTGTTTTTAATAATTCAGCCTCTGTGTTTGGAGGCTGAGGGGAATTAGGTGTTATATTATGTGCTGCTTTCTGTTGTTGTTGTTGTTGAAGTAAACCAGTTAATTTTGCTGAAGTCATTGCCCGACAGGCTCAGGCAAAGACAGCTTATGTGGGATGCCAAATGATTTACTTTTTCATTGGTGTTTGGAAAGAAAGTTCTGTACGATAAGGGTAGTATAACTTACATATCATAGGCTAGTTCTCTGTGGTGTTAACTCTAGTTATACATGGTCCACTGCTTTGGGGTGAAGGCATATATGTCTAGTGTTATCAACGGCCTTGTTCCAAATTTTAAACCTAGGGCTAACTCTCCAAACCGGAGAGGCATTGTAGATAATCAGGGAATATCATCACTCAGGTAGTAAGTTGTGAGGCGGACCCCATGAAAGTGCTACCTCCCTGGCTCAAGGATGCACAGACCCTTCTAACCAGGATAGAGGTTTCTTTTCTTCCATATAAAACTAGGATGGGAATTGAGATGCTATTTGGGAGAGGGTCTATGATGAGCAGATTTACATGAGGTGTGAAAGTAGCATTTAGTAGGAAGTAGAGGCTGAGGAGAGAGCTCAGAATCTACTTTGGAGCCTCTGAGCTCTCCTTTGGACAGGACTAATTTTGCAGATGGACCCTACACCTGTAACTTGTTCTTTATCATGGGACCAACATGGTTGCATCTTTAACTTACTCAGGTAAGTGACATAATAACTTACACTTCCTCAGGTTACCTTCTAGGTGGTTAGATTAAAACAACAGAGAACATGAAGGTGAGACTCTGGAAGTGAGTTCAGGTATAAAACATGAGCATAACATTTTTCCAGTAGTTCTGGGCATGGTGGCTCATGCCTATAATCCCAGCACTTTGGGAGGCTGAGGTGGGTGTATCACTTGAGATCAGGAGTTTGAGACCAGCCTGGCCAACATGGCAAAACCTCATCTCTACTAAAAATGCAAAATTTAGCCAGTCATGGTGACGTGTGCCTACGATGCCAGCTACTCGGGAGGCTGAGGCAAGAGAATCGATTGAACCATGAGGCGGAGGTTGTAGTGAGCTGAGATGGTGCCATTGCATTCCATCCTGGGTGACAGAGCAAGACTCCATCTCAAAAAAATTCCAGTAGTGACAGGGTTTTGAAGAGGCTCCAAGCTGGGCAGGGCTTAGCAGCTCTTCTCTTTCCTGAGGATGTTGGGAGTTAGAGACACCTGTCTAGATTCAACAGCAAGATAAGGGCATGGGAGTTCCAGATGGATACCATACAGTGACTCAGGGTAGGAGATGTGGTATGGTAATCTGACAGAAAGCAGCTTTGTTAGTTTGGATCTGCAATATGAATTTGCTGAAGCCCAAGTTTCCTTATCTTCCAAATGTGGATGATTATTTCTACATGGTATAACTCACTGAAAGATTTTAGAA